CCCCTCTGATACCCCTTCCCCCCCCCCCCCTACCGTGGCTCCTGGTTTTACTAGATATTAATAGAAGCGACTCAGATAATGGAGTTTCCACCTGTCCCGCCCAGCCAACTGAGTCATCCACAGGCAACCAGTGGATGCGGAGGGGAGGTCAGGGTTTATTAGATTTTTTTTGGCACCTGATCACTTTTCCTTACTGGTTTATGCACGTGTTCTTCCCACCCCCGTCTGTGCTCTGATTCTCTGCTCTGTCTCATGGCCTGGCCATCCTCCGAAATAAGCCCCAGAGAAGGGAGCACAGATGCATTCTGGGCCGGCTGACGTTAGGCCCCACCCCCCAAGGAGCTTAGCCCGTGAGGTAAGGCCTCTGCTGCGTTCCTGAAGGGATGTGACACGGTCAGCAGGGTGTCGCCACGCGGCACGGCCCCCGGGCTGCTTCCTCTCGTGGCAGCGCGCCGTCATTGGAGCGGCCTCATCTGTATAACGGTTCTCATATGTGGTCTGGAGGTAGCTCTTTTATTTTGTTTGGGATGGCACTTGTTTTTCTGCTCCCGTCCTGAACTGCATCCTCAGGATACAGAGAAGGCCAGATTGCTGGTGGGAAGATGGCAACTTAATCTGTCGGGGGGAGGGAGGGTCCTGCCTGGCCCAGGAGGGTCGGAGCGCTCCTCCTTTCCCCTAATAGACTTTCACAGCACCCCTGACTGAAGCTTTGGGTGTCCAAAACAAGCCTCATTTATAGCAGCAGTAAACATGACCGCACCCCAAGGGCAAAAGAGAGGAAGAAATGCGTAAATAGCTCAACTTTTCTCTGGGGCAGGAAGGTGCTGCTGTTCACAGAATCCATGCCGCGAAGTCTCGTCCCTTAAGCTCCCGCTGATTGGTGGATCGTTACCACCCCCGTGCCCGCCCAGGGGCCCGGGCAGCGGCAGAGAGCCAGGCCCCGTGTGGGAGGCTGTAAAAGAGGGAGCGCATGTGTGGGCCTGCTCTGGGAAGCCATCGCTCCTCACCAGACCTGTTTAGATGCGGCACTTCCTGAACGGCGGGAGCGGAATAGCCAGCGGCATCAGTGACGCTTCTCACTCCGAGGCGGCCATAGTGACCCGATTGTGACCTCGCACGGCCCAGTTAGCGTGCATGACATTTTACAGTCAATCATGTCCAGTCCTTTTAATTGCAGTGTCTTCAAGGCCTTATCTGAGTTTGATTGACAGCTAGAGGTCCAGGCTGGACTCTTTCCCTGATTCCCTTTTTCTCATTTATTTACTTTTTGCCTTTTCTCCTAATCTGAGCCAGATTTTTTTTCTCCGTTCATGTTGTAAGTTTTTTATTTTTTTATTTTTTGCTCTCCATTTATGTGATGATTTTGTTTGTTTTTATTCTTCATTCTGGTCAGCAGTTCCAAGAACAGAAACACGAGTCAATGAGCTGACGTGACCTGGCCTCAGTATCCTGAGCACTGGGTCTGTCGCTCCGTCAGGTCCAGGCAGAGCGAGGGCCGTAATGATGGCTGGGCCGCACCTGCGCCTCTAGCTGGGCCGAGAGGTGGGCGGGTGGGAATGAGCTTGGCAGATAGGGTACTGAGCATGGTTTCCTGGATGGATGGATGGATGGATCTTGCTGTACCCTGGGATCCCGTGTTCCTGTGTGTCAGCTGGATTGCCCCAGGCCAGAAGTGACAGTCAGCCTGAAAGAAACTCTGAAAACATGACCATGTATTTATCTCCTTTCATCCATAAAAGAAATATCTTTTTATCTGTCATGGTGGAATTTAGTTGCACAAGCCTCCCCCCTCTTTTGGAAACAGGAGGCCCCCCCAGTGCCCCCCCCCCCCTCACTGCGTGATGAACCTCCACAGATCTGTTATTTATTGTAGCATCACACTTATCTCTGAATAAAACAAGACGTGTTTTTACAAATATATGGTCCCCTGTGTGTGTCTGTGTGTGTGTGTGTGTGTGTGTGTGTGTGTGTGTGCAGAAAGGTCCCTGCTATTTACAGATGCTTCCTCGCTCCGCACGTCCCGCAGAAAGAGGAATGTGGCCCAATGAACGATACATCCTCCCGCGGGGGGAAAAGCGAGAGGCGACCGACCGACGATCAGATACCCGTCTGAAAGCTCGAGATATCACACAGCGAGCGCGCCGCAGGAACACACGGGCGGCGCCGAATCAGGGTCACGGCGCTGATCGTGTGTCCCGTGCCGCCAGATGCTAATCTGCAGGACCTCCCTCCCGGTCCTCAGCGTGTGTGTTCTCACCAGGCGGGCCTCCTGCACGGACGCCGCCCCCAGTCCACAGCATTCTGCACCGCTCCGCCATTTTGGATCCGGACAGTGTGTTTGATGCGTGTTGACCGGCTCGCTGATGGGGGC